GCCACATATACAGTATTTGTGATAACTGAAGAAGGTTGGGATATTGTGTTGCATTTTGAGTTTATACTATCATAAGAACCAGGTCTAGTATAAGCCCCTAGACCCAATCTGTATCCGAGACCTAAGCACAGCCTGAGCATTTCAGCTAAGACCACCCACCCAGTAAGGTGCCACCCATTAGCCTCAGCCCTTTAGTAAGCTGGCCCAGGTCCCAGTAACTTCATCATCAGAACTCCATCATTTAGAGTGGTGCTGCGTCTTTTGGACACTGCAAATCCAGTCCTCACACTCCTGCATGGTCTCCTTCTTTCTATGCATTGGAAGGAGTGGTAAGAGGTGAGCTTTTGGCTAAGACAGCTTTTTTATGCAAAAAAAAAGTTTCATAGCTCTTAAAGATTTTTAAAGTGATTTTTGTTAACAGAGGCATAACTGAATGATGAAACCAGTTTTCTTTTTGTCTCTGTCATTGTCTCTCTCTCTCTCTCCTTCTGTTTGTTTTGCAGAGCTGAGGCTACAAAGACCTCTGAGACTTCTTTCAGGTACTTATAGAAACCTCCTGCACCCTCGTGATGGCACAAAGGGACTGTTTTCCTACTCTTAGTCTGAATGACTGCCAAGAAGGAAGGCAAAGGTAGAGGAATTGGATCTCTGGCTTTTGATCTCAGACTTTATTAGACTCCTGTCTGAGCCTACGAACAAAGCTCACATGAACAAATGATTTGAGTCATGAATCAAAAATCTTGCTCTTTTCCTAATGAGAAAGAATTAAGAGTTGGACAGGTAAGCATGTTTGCTGCTTTGGGAAAGCTGTTGGGTTGGGATAAATCACTAAGTACAGGAAGACAGAGAATATATCAAGAGAATGTGGAACGTTAGAAATATTTAAGAAAAATCCTTAAGTTATAGTTAACCCTTAGATTATAGTTTTCTAGTCCTCTTTATTGTTGTTGTTTTTTTTATAGACAGGGTCTTATTGTATCATCTAGAGTGGAGTGCAGTGGCACAATCACAGCTCACTGCAACCTCCAACTCATGGGCTCAAGTGATCCTGTGTCTCAGTTCCAGAGTATCTAGGGCTACAGCCATGCTCCATCACCAGTTCTCTTTGTTCTGTAGGAAGGAGTTTCTATTCACCTCACGGTTAACTGCCTTTCCTAGTAGCCTGTTTTCTAAGCGGGGTTATGAGATATTGTTTTGGATTTATTTATGAGCTTTTTAAAAACACACTAGTAAAATATATAGTAGTGTATATATTTTATCCTTTGCTTTTCCATTTAACATGTCATGAGGATTAGTCTACACTACCCATGAAGCACTTGCTTATTCTTCTTTATGACTACATAGTACCTCAGTGAGTGAATAGACTTTAATTTGTTTAATCCACTTACTTGTGGACCTTTAGGGTTTTCTCAGCTTTTTGCTATTGTAAGCAGTGCTATAATGAATCACATTATAAATACAAACATGTTATTTTTCACATGGATTAGTCTATCTGTTGGATAAATTACTAGAATACAATGGCAAGCCCCAAATATAGAAAATACATATGAATTTTGTCTGGTATAGTCAAGTTGTAGAGGTGGGAACAGTTTACTCTCTATTGTGTTGTATAACACGTGGCACTCTAGCCAACTTAGCATATGTTGTCAGACTTTTTTTTTTTGATACAAAATTTACTTTGTCACCCTCGGTAGAGTGCCATGGGATCATAGCTCACAGGAACCTCAGACTCTCAGGCTCAAGTGATTCTCTTGCCTCAGCCTCCCAAGTAGCTGGGACTATAGGCGCCCACCACAACACCCAGCTATTTTTAGAGATGAGGTCTCGCTCTGGCTCAGGCTGGTCTCAAACTTGTGAGCTCAGGCAATCCACCTGCCTCAGCCTCCCAAGTGCTGGGATTACAGGCAAGAGCCACTACGGTGAGGCTGTTGTCAGACTTTTGGACCTTTGATAATCTGATACGTGAAACATTATCTCAGAGTTGTATTTGGCAACTCTCTCATGAGGTTGAACATTTATTGATATGTTTAAGACCGTTTTGTGTTTTCTTTTGTGTACACTATATCCTTTGCCCATGTTTCTGCAGGTTTGGGTTTTGTTTTTCCTAATAATTTGTAAGATCTTTTAAAACTCACTTGGAAGGGCGGTGCCTGTAGCTCAGTGGGTAAGGCGCCGGCCCCATATAGTGAGGCCAAATTGCAACAAAAAATAGCCGGGCATTGTGGCAGGCACCTGTAGTCCAAGCTACTCAGAAGGCTGAGGCAAGAGAATCATCTAAGCCCAGGAGTTGGAGGTTGCTGTGAGCTCTGGCACTCTACCAAGGGCGATGGAGTGAGACTCTGTCTCTACAAAAAAAACCACTCATTTGGAAGATTAGCGCAGTGTCTACGATATGAGTTACAAACAACTGGTCAAGTTATTGTTTCTTTTCATTTCTAGTTGGGGAAAGGTTTGGGTGAACAAGAAGGCCATAGGAAACTCCCTTATTGAACTTTACTCACTTAGAGCCCTGAGATCTTTAACAGAGCTATAAAATATGTGTAAGATTTTGAGATAACATTAAGATTTTTGCAGTTTTTCTCAAGAACAGATCAAACAGAACTTTTTTCTTACAGTATTCCTTATAGTTATCCTTTCTGGAATTCATCCATTTTTTGTGGTACTAGGAAATGGTACAGTATTTAAACTATCATCTTGGTAGAATTAATATCTGCCTGGAGATTGACCCTGGTCTGTTTTACAGGGGGAAAGACTATCTGGGGGACACTCTGTATCATATGACAACAACAGTGCTCTTTCTGCTTTCAGAGGAATTCCTGTACGTATCACACACACCTCAGCCTCCTGTCAATACCTGCTTTCATTGTTTGTTACTGTATGCTTCTAGGTACTGGGGACACAAGGATGGTGTAGACTCTAGCTTTCAGGTGCTCACACGTGGGAGGAAAAAGTGTGGGGCACAAACATGCAAAACAACCTTTCTAATGAGATATTTGCTATAATGAATTAGAATATAAAATACAGTGGGAATACCAAAGGTACACCACACTCTCTAATGAGTTGTATGAATTTTTTTTCATTTTAGATTAATATGAAGGTATAGACAATTAGGTTACAATGTTTGCATTTACTAGGTAAAGTCCCTTTTGTAGTTGTGTCCTGAACCTACAAAAGGGAAGTATACCATATACCCTTACATTGTGCCCATTAGGTGGGGGCACACCAATCCCCTTCCTTCCTCCCCCCTTCTTTTTTGAAACAGAGTCTCACTTTGTTGCCCAGGCTATCGTGCCATGGCCTCAGCATAGCTCACAACAACCTAATACTCCTGGGCTCAAGCAGTCTTCCTGCCTCAGCCTCCCAAGTAGCTGAGACTACAGGTACCTACCACAATGTCTGGCTGATTTTTCTTTTTAGTAGAGATGGGTTCTTGCTCTTGCTCCAGCTCCTGAGCTCAGGTGATCATCCCACCTCTGCCTCCCATAGTGTAAGGATTATAGGGGCTGGGCCTGAGTTTGTGGATTTTATTTCCTATTCCTAAGAAGGGCATATACTAGTCTCCCACATCACCCACCTTTTCCATCATAGTTGAAGCTTTCCAGGTACCTCACTTTCAGATTGAGTTTAATTAAGTCCTTCTGGCCTCCAGTTTAAGTAGGTGGGAAGTGTTTGTGTGTATGGGGGGATGTGAATTCTGTCCTCACACTAACAGTCAGCTGCCCCTACAGATCTCGGAGTTAAAGAAGCACAGAATTCTCCCGGCCCTGACTGCAGAAGCTAATGGATGGGAGCCAGGTGGGAAGGTCCCCTTCAGGGCCTTGGAGGATGGGTGGATCTACTTTTCATCCTTTTAGTTTTCTCTCACTCCTTGTCCTTCAGAATTTTGTATATTTGTCTCGGCATCTGTAGCTCAGTAGTTAGGGCACCGGCCACATGCACCAGGGCTGGTGGGTTTAAACCCGGCCCAGGCATGCTAAACAACAATAACAACACCACCAAAAACAATAGCTGGGCGTTGTGGTGGATGCCTGTAGTCCCAGCTACCTGGGAGGCTGAGACAAGAGAATCACTTAAGCCCAAGAGTTTGAGGTTGCTGTGAGCTATGACTCCATGGCACTCTGCCGAGGGTGACATAGTGAGACTCTGTATTTAAAAAATAAAAAAGAATTTTGTACATTTACCACTCCTTAAGGAAAATTAGAATCAATACTGGATTGGGAGTCAGTGAATTCTGATATCTGTCTTCTGGTGGTTTGCTGTGTGCCTCTGGCCAAGTCATGTCATCTCTGTATCTATAGTAGAAATATTAACATCTTCCATATCCTTGCAGGGATGTTCTGAAAAGCCTTTCAAAATGTATCTGCTTCATAGGGTACATCCCTGTAGTACATTTAAAGCTCACTGCACTTGCCAATTGACTAGGGAGAAAGGTTCACTCACCAATTCAGAAGTACCAGTTCTGGAGTCTCTAGTTTAAATACTTTATTTATTTTTGCAGTTTTTGGCCAAGGCTGGGTTTGAACCTGCCACCTTCGACATATGAGGCCAGCGCCCTACCCTTTTGAACCACAGGTGCTGCCCGAGTCTCTGGTTTAAATCCTGGCTATCTTACCCACGAACGTGATGAGCAAGTTACTTAACCTCACTTTCCTCATTTATAAAACAGAGATTATGTCAAAACTTGTGTGATAGGGATTTTATAAGGATTGTGTGAGCTAATTAGATAAAGTACTGAATGCACAAAATATAAATCATAGTGAGTGATCATTAGCAGTATTGTTATGTATGTTTAAATCCCACACACTAAACGTGTAATCTCCACATATATGGAGCTTTTCAAAAGTATTGTAATGTAGAAACATTTGGACATCTATAAAGTTTCTTTTAATGGGATTTTATCTTTACTGTATGGTGACAAATCCAATGTTGATACATTAATAATTTTTACCTTAAATGCCAAAATATTTCATATTTGAATACAATGAGCATCTTTGTTCCAGATATTTTTAATCATATGAAATAAGCATAATTATATTTCAGATTATTCTTAGCTCACTTAAATTAATAATAGACTGACCCAATCAGCAGTTCCCTTAGGAT